AGAATTTACCACTTACCAGTCATCACATTTAATATGTGTCCTTATTGTCTGTTTCTCTGACTAAAATGGTAGGTCCATGCTTTATCAGCCTAGTACTGTACTGTAACTGGCAATAGGAGTTAAGATCCAGTTTTTAAAATTGTCTTTTTTAGCTCTATCTCCCTACAGGAAATACCATGCTGGGAATGAAAATGTACCATTTCCAGAGCTGTAATCCCTGCCACTAGGAGAAAGGCCATACCTCAGTTCCACAGTCAGGGCTCAATTGGGGCTTATAGCTAAATCTCCATAGGCAAATATCCTGGCTTTTGTTCCTACAACTTGTTGCCACTACTGTGGGAAAGGGAGTGAATCACAAGGGCTCTTATCCTCAATTTAGCCCAAACTGTACGTTCTTTTTTTTAATATATCATTTTTGTTTTAAGGTGAACTAGCATTTGATCCTAGAGCCAACTTTATGGCCAGGAGCTTTGGTAATAACACTTAGAATACTGCCCAATATGCAGTTGGCACCTAGTAACATTTTGTTCAAGAAAGCAAGGGAATAGTGCTACAAAGATTTAAGTGGTCACAGGGAATGAATGAGTGGTAAATCAAAACATGCATAATCAGCTCTTTCTGATGCCAAAACATTTTCCCAAACAGCCCTGGCTGCTGCCCTAGGCACTCAATTATTAATGTTATTTATCATTGGTCACTATAGTTTCAATCATGTGTCATCATATCAGTTCTTACCTCCTCCCCACAAGGAAGAATGCTTATTTTTGATTATTGCTCACTTGCAATGAAATTAAATCAATCATCATAGTTGTTTTCTAATTCTGTTTGATGACATGTGTTACAAAGGGATAAAAATGCTATATGTTGGTTCACAAAGACCTATAACACTTATGTAGAACTAGGAGCTACTGAAAAACCTTATTCAATTTTTCCTACTGCAAATAATTTTTGCAACTTTGATAACTACTGGTAAGTATTTTATCATTTCCCTACAGACTCTATCTCTATAAAATCCTCAACTATTTGATTAACTTAAACTATTTATTAAAATATAATCTTATCAATATTGACTTCAGACCACTTATCATTGCCACATTTTTTTCTCAAAGCCCAGCAATAATCCACATCAAAATACACATACCTTCCAATATATAACCAAAGTATTCTCCTTCAAACATCCAGCTAACTCTTCCTACCATTTGTGACCCAGAATACTTAGCAAAAAATAAGAAAAATGTAGCACTATGCAACTTTATTATGTAGTCTTTATACTTTGTCTTACATATCAAGCATTTTATAGTATTCACTAAATTTTGAAAATATCTAAGTTGGGGCCAGGTGCAAGTGGCCCACACCTGTAATCCTAGCTACTCAGGTGGTTGAGATCTGAGGATCGCGGTTCAAAGTTAACCTTGGCAGGAAAGTCCATGAGAGTCTTATTTCCAATAAACTACTCAGAAATAAACAGAAGTGGTACTATAACTCAAGTGGTAGAATGCTAGCCTTGAACCCCGAGAGGCCCAGGGAGAGAGCCCTGACTCGGAGCTCATATACACTTTGGACATACTTATTGCAAATGTTACTTACATAGAAGGATACATTAAATACAGAAACTATATTTCAAAATTCTCCTGAATTTATTTAGTAATGCTAAATTTAGTATTGCTAAATATCCCCTGTTTACAATGTGGGAAATTGAAGATCAGAGAGGCTGTGTAAATTATCCAAGGTCATACACAGGTAGTATAAAGCAGAGACAAAAATCTGAATCCAAGTTCATTTAAACTGAACATATGACCCCTACTAAAGTGTACATTCCTTTTTAGAATGCATATTATGGTCATAAAAAGACAAGGCCATAGGATGCTAAAGACTATTATTCAAGGGTATAAATTACTATAAATAAAATAGAAATGTCATAGAAGGAGCCCTTATGGAACATTAAAGTGAAAAACTATAAAGAAACTGGAAAAGAAAGTGCTATATGATTTCCCATAAATTATTATATGGAAATAAGTTGGGAATCAGGATTAAGATAGGCCTCGTGGAAGAGCTGTAAAATGTGGGCAAAATATTTATAAAGGAAAACATTCTAGATAAAAAAGGATTTAATAAGCAAAGTCAGAAACAATATTACCTAAGGTGGAGGGGGTAGTTGTATTCGGGTAACAGGCACTTTTCTAGCTTCACTTTTTAAAGTAAAATTTAAAATGCTGCATAGTGAAGAGGAAGTCTGATAGTCAAGATCAGCCAGGCCTCATAGCCTTCAGTTCTGCTTCAAATACCAATATTGGAGAGACAAAGGGAATAATAGTGAGCTATGCAGACTAGTTTTACTCATATTCCATCTTTCCTTTTTCAACCTGTTACATCATTCTCTTTTTTTTAACTAATATGACCATAGCCATAATATTTGTTTATTCTAGAATTTCACCTATGAGATTCCTATTGCCCTTTCTTTTCCTTCCTTCCTTCCTTACTTCCTTCCTTCTTTCCTTCCCACCTTCTCTCCCTCCCTCCCTCCCCCCTTTCTTTCTTTCTTTCCTTCCTTCCTTCCTTTCCCTCCCTTCCTCCCTTCCTTCCTTCCTTCCTTCCTTCCTTCCTTCCTTCCTTCCTTCCTTCCTTCTTTCCTTCCTTCCTTCTTTCTTTCTTTCTTCCTTTCGCCAATCCTGGGGCTTGAACTCAGGACCTGGGTACTGTCCCTAAACCACTTTGTGTTCTCTCTCATTTGAGCCATAACACCATTTCCAGTTCTTTTCTGAGTAGTTTATTGGAGATAAGAGTCTCACAGAATTTCCTGTTTAGGCTGCCTTTGAACTGTGATCTTCAGATCTCAGATTCCTGAGTAGCCAGGATTACAGGCTAAACCTCCTAATGAGACTAAGACACAAAGACTTTTTGTAACTGACTTTTAACCAGAGTGATTGTATATACTCTTTTTTATTCCTCTCTTTAGTAGCAAATTACAGATTAAAAAAAAAAATCTTCCTTGCCTAAACTCTAAAACTAACCCTTCACATTTCCTTTAGGCACTAATTTCAATAATTGCTTCCCTTTGTAACAGGATTTTCCAGCTCATATGTGGGAAACATCACAATAGGTTGAACAAGGGGAAGGGGGGAACAGCTCCACAAAAAATGTACCCATTCTGGGAACCAGGTAGACACTGCTGGCCTCCCACTTTGCAATCTTTACTACATTGAATCTTCAGGGCCTATTGTTATTTTTTTTTAACCTGTCTGCCTTCTTCCCCATTAGACCTAGATTCCTGATGGCAGAGGCTAGGCCCATTAGCAAAATGACATTTCAAGAAAGGGATGTTACAAGGAAGGAATTTCTTCAAATATACATAACATACTGCTATGGGAAGGAAGGAGTTACATAGGACCTTCTAAGACTGACACAAAGCTCAATCTTGATGGATATTTATGAGCTTCCTGATCACTAAAGAAGAAAAAGATAGTCCAACTCAAAAGCAGGATATACTTGATTTAGAGGTGATATAGAAAAGTGTCTTCAAGAATTACCATGCATTTCCCTGTAGATGTTGTGAGTAGGGAAAGGAGGGAGCATTGAAAGAGGATTGAGGGAGGGAGGATGGGAAAGGAAGGAAGGAAAACTGAGGGAGGGAAGAAAGTTTTTTTAATTTTACTGTAAAAATACAGAGGAATTACGATTACATGAATAAGGTAATGAGTACATTTCTTGTAGAGCATTGTGAAAAAAATTTAAGTAAATAAACATCAAATATATTCACTCTTCTAGATAATTCAGTATTCAGTAATATTAAAGGCATTTTATTGAACAACTTTAAAACTGAGTAGCAGGAAGTGGAAATAACTTTAAAACTGAGTAGCAGGAAGTGGTGGTAAGGGCAAAGAGCAGAAGGCACACAAATGGAAGGAGGAAGAGTGAGCAAATGCAGTCATTATATTTAGTGTACATTATGTAAAAATTGAACTATATAACTCGAGGGTAAGGATATTAGGGGTAGTAATGGGGAAGAATAATAAGATGTATTCATAATTTGAGTTATAGAATAGAAACCTCATCGTATAACTGTTCCCTGCTCCCAATCAGAAACACTTAAGTCAATGTAGGACACTTCTGGCTTGTTATGTAACAGTTTATCATGTAATTACATCACTGAGTTAAAGTACCTTAGTGTATAAAACCTTTTTGTTTGTTGTTGTTGTTGGTCATGGGGCTTGAACTCTGGGCTTGGGCACTGTCCCTGTGCTCTTCAGCTCAAGGCGAGTGCTCTACCATTTGAGCCACAGCTCCACTTCTAGTTTTCTAGTGGTTTATTGGAGATAAAGAGTTTCAAGGACTTTTCCTGCCTGGGCTGGTTTTCAACTGTGATCCTCAGATCTCAGCCTCCTGAGTAGCTAGGATTACAGGCGTGAGCCACCACTGTCTGGCTCGTGTATAAAGCCTTTAAGTGACAGTAAAGAAAGAACCTTCAAAGATAATTAAAGTTAACCATTTCAATATATTCATTTAATAACTGAACTCTAGAAAAAAGTGACTCACTCAAAGTCACAGAACCAATGAACAGCACTTTACACAAGGCCTGCTCACTGCATAGCAAGAGTTTTTATTACACTATTCTTAGTTCAATGATAGGCAAATCAAAGTGAGACACTGTAGCAAGAATCCTTATGAGCCAAAAAGAGAAAAAAAATCCAGTTTTAGGAGTTTCCCTTTGCCATCAGAGAAACTGAGGTTTCTCACACAATTTCTACAGAATCATACAGATATAAATAATAGAAAAGAAGTTCCAATATAAGCATATTCTAGTTCTAAAACATTTCCAAGAATGACAAAATATACTCAGCAAAGCAAAATATCCAATCATCTAATGAAAAAACTCTATGCTTTGGTAAAACATGTGTAGATACATACACCCCAAAAAAAGTGAAACATATACTCTAAGCAAAACCCACAAATCCCCAAAGCTCAAATTAGGGCCAAGGATAGAACCCATCTTTTGTACTTACCGTAACTTTACTTCCAACTATCTGTATGCAGTGAGTGGTCAGCGAACAGTGGTTATGGTGTAAAAAAAAAGAAAGAAAGAAAAGAACAGCAACAATATTAGTAATCAGAAGCTTTACAAAGAAGTTAGGTATTTAGTAAATTAGTAAGTAGCTAATCCTAATTATACTTTTAATACTTTATATCCAGAGGCCCAATCATATATATTAATATGAATTTGTACATATTTCAAAAGTGTGTTTAGTCTATAAGGATAAGGATTTCCAAATAAAGGAGACTTGCTATTTGAATATGGGATGCTCTTAAAGGAAATCGAACTATCAAGTAACGCAAAGTTAATTGTAAGCTGGTATTAGATATCAGCATATAGCATCTCAAAGGCATCAACAATTGCTTTTTTTGTGGCAAATGCTACTTTCTTTCCTTACTATGCAAGTATATTAAGTCTGAAATAAGATAGTTTAGGAAAATGAATGTTGCACTAAATATCATCTGTAGATGTTAGGAGTGAACTTTAAGTTGAAAACTGGACTATTTTATTTTGTTAAAAATGTAAATTATCTAATATTAGCTTATATTACACTTCAAAAAAAAGATAGACTGTTTATCGCTATAGTTTGAGTTCATCCTAGTACACATATTGTAAAATCTGAATTTTCTCTATAACGTGAGGACAAAGGAACATATTATTTCTAGACAAGTACATAATTCTAGAGAGAAGATTTCAACTTTGAGCTTCCTCACAGATAAAAGAGGAATTCTTTGAGTAAAAAAAATGTGTTTAAGAAAGCAAAAAGCAAGCGGGGTATGATTGCTCAACCCTGTGCAAATAGCTCAAGCCTGTGCAATCCTACCTACTTAAAGAGGTAGAGATCAGAAGATCATGACTTCGAGGCTACCAGTACAAAAAATTTGGAAAACTCTATTTCAACCATTAGCTGGGCAAAGTGTTTCATGTCTATAATCACACATATCAAATAGGAAGATCACAGTTCAAGCCAGCATGGGCATAAAGCGAAACCTTTTGTCAAAAAATATGGAAAACAAAAAAGGTTGTAAGCATAGCTCAAAGAGCATCTGCCTAAGAAATATGAGGCCCTGAGGTTAAACCTCAGTACAAAAATAAAAAAAACAGAAATAGTTTTGAGTATAACCTATGCCAAAATTAAAATATAAGTCAAATCACTGTTAGCAGATTCATATATCTGAATATCAAGTAGAGGCCAATTAAGAGCTAATCTATGATATGAAATCATTAATCTGATAGCACTTATTATCAAGATGTATTGTTCAGCTAGTGCTTTAAAAAGAGAAAGCATTGGGCTTTGGTGGCTCATGCCTATAATCCTATGGAGCTATTAGGATTATGATTCAAAACCAGTGCAGGCAGGAAAATCCATGAACTTGTTTTCTTCAATAAACCACCTAAAAACCAAGAATAGAGCTGTGGCTCAAGTGATAAGAGCACTAGCCTTGAGCAAAAAAAAACTCAGGGACTCCAAGCGACAAGGCCCACAAGAAAAAAAAATGTCCATTTCAAATTCAGTAAGCATTCCTAAGATGAAACTGTCACAAGATGCAAAATATAATGACAGTTTCCAAGTAAATTATTTCAGAGGAATCTATGAGCTCAAAGAGGGAAGCAAGTTTCTTTAAAAATTCATTCAACCCACTGCTCACAAACTGTAGGGCTTATTCAGTTGAACAAATGCCTCTTTGGTGCCCTTAACAGATTTCTGAATTTAACGACATCCTATTGACCTAAATTATTGCCTCTCACCAAAAGAGACAGAGGTTGTATTTGACCCTTGTTTATGTAGTGTAGACATGAAATTGAGGGAAGAAAATATGAGCCTGTGTTAATTAAAGCAGGTCTATACTCAATGAAATGACCAAAATATCATCCATTTAATGATTCATTTGGAGAATAAAATGAGTTCTGCAGCTAAAGCACATACAGAGATAGATCAGGTTGATTAGTCAAGGACAGCCAAGAGAAACTAGTTTGGTCATGTCTAGGTTCAATTGTAGCATCATATCCAAACCACACCTGGAAAGAACCTAAGAAAAAATGTGTCTGATCATGGCCAAAACAAAACCATAATAAACGCATAAACAGACACATACAGACACTGCAACTTTTGACTACTTGTTATACAAGTTAGCCTGGCAATTCTGTGATTGACGTCACTGTTTGAAACTGAGATTTTCACAATGGCTCACAAAATATTCAAAAATACAAGCTGGCATATTCTTTAATATAAACCTCAAAAACGGTGACTTTAAAAGTAGAAAGAAACTTGCTGGTGAATATTGAAACAAAGACATTGAAATTTCATAAACTAATGTTAGGACTTTGGTAAATATTTATATATGCTGTGAATTACAATGCAAGGTCATCTTCTAATTTACCAACACAAAATGTTAAAATTTATACACTAATTTGTATAATACTTTAAAAGTTTGCTTTCTATTTTTAAAAACATATGCAGGTATTTTCAAAATATAAGACTCTTTGGGGTTATTTGTGGGCAAATAGTACATATAATATCAACTATCATAGTCAGGCCCACAATTACATTTCTTACAATAGCAGAATTGTGCAACCCATGGGGGATAAATGCACAGTAGGTTCTCTTCTATCCACATATTTAAAGTTCATTCATCACTGAGAGTTAAGCAAGATACTGTTCTTTCAACATTCCACAACTTTCTCTATTGTAAGAATTTAAAGAGAAAAGCTAAGCAATAATTTCCATTATTAATGTGATTGCCCTAGCATACTACTACACTATGCTACTTTGATCAAGTTAATTATACAACAAAAGATTAAGTTTGCTTTAGAAACATCTTCACCTTATTTTAATGTCCTTATCCAGGGCCCCAGAAGAACAATGGACATTTCTCACTGAGCTCACATTTTGTTTGGTTCATATTCTTTTGTAATTTTCATTGTATTTTTTCTATTTATTGTTTCTTCTATGTATTATTTGGAAGTACTAGGGCTTGAACTCAGGGCCTCATAGAAAGTGCACCATGTGAGCCATGCCCCTAACCTGTCAAGGTGAAAATGTACAATTTATGCTTAAATTTTATTATCAATGTCACATATTTCACATGTAACTCTAAAACATTTTTTCACCAAAATTCTAGCCAATAACTTGCTTTACTTCAAGATGAAAAAGCCAACTATTTTACTCTAGCTAGTTATTTAATTTACTTATTAATTTTACTTAAATTTATTTATTTTATTTTAGTTATTTTTGAAAGCACTTTCATAAATTCATAGATATTACCATATTTGCTTTGAATGAGAAAAGGGTTTTAAGGAGTGTATCAACATAGGGAAAAGTAAGATTAAAAAAATTACAAAATGTGCAAAGCATACCTAAAGTCTAATGAAAGTGTAATGGGAACCTTTGTTATGCATAGGTAACAGCCATGCATTTGATGAGAATTAGTGCAAATATTACTGTCCTAATCATGAAGAGAGTATTATTATTCACTTAATGTCATCCCTCTCACTTTTTTTTTGTTTTTTGTCAGTCATGGGGCCTGAACTCGGGGCCTGGGTGCTGTCCCTGAGCTCTTCAGCTCAAGGCTAGCAGTCTGCCACTTGAGCAACAGCGTCACTTCCGGCTTTTTCTGCTTATGTGGTGCTGAGGAATTGAACCCAGGGCCTCATGCATACAAGGCAAGCACTCTACCACTGAGCCACCTTCCCAGCCTCATCCCTCTCACTTTTAAGAGGAAATTACATAAGCAATTTTCATAGTTTTTATGATATTAAACAGTAGTAATTATTACCTCCCCAAGGTGAGAAACCTTCAAAACATGCTTGTCAACAGGCTTTCTTTCATCAAAATATTTGTCCCAGGAAATATTTTTACAGAAGATTCTAATCTGGGAACTCTTAAGAAAGGGCAATAGATGTATGAAATATATGTAGGTATACTGAATGAAATAAGCAAGGACAATTATACTCACTAATGCTGATTTTGAGGCTAGTGCCTTAAACAGGAAATCTTCATGTCTTTTGAAAACCATTCCATTTCCATTTTTTGAATAAAGCAGTTTTCAAATACACTCATCTAGTATTTTACTCTTCTTCCCATATTTCTGAGGATCACTCCTCAGACATTGAGCATGCTAAGCAAATGTTCTACCACTGCCCTATATTCCTAGTTCTATTTAAATAAACTTTTGCATTTTCAATCTAAAAAAAAGTGCATAACTTAAAAGGGTGCATTTCGTTGGTCAGTTAAAGGAAAACAATAAGAAAAAAATGGAAAGAAGCTCTGAAGACAGAATGAGGAATAATCAAAAGTTCAAGGGATAAGAGCATTGAATAATCATTACAGTTAGTCCCACTTATACACACACACACACACACACACACACACACACACACACATACACACAAACCAAATAAGCCAGAAACACTAACAAAATCCTTTCATGAAAATATCACAAAATTTTTCTCATGCTATCTGTTTAGTGCACTCCGATTTAGTTTTATATAGATTTACCAGCATACTTGCTTTTAAGTATTTGAAAAGTAACACTAAAAAAAATTTTTTTAGGAAAAAAATTCCTAAAGCATTTTACTGTGAACAATAACTCAAATGCAAAAATGACAAAAGATTCTTTGGAATTTCAAAGTAAAATCCTATGCATCATCTAATTCTATTGAAAATGACGCTCATGGCAAATTTCACTTATCACTTGAAACGTATTTCTCCCCTTGGATACCAGAAGCAAATCAAAAATCATGCTGTTGCTCAGCTCTGCTAGAGCTGCATTGCATTATGTTTGAATAGTTCTGCATTCAGATTTAGCTTGCTTAGAGTACAATACATAATCAATACAATCACAAAATTCAGTAATTGCTACTGGATTATTGTACTAAAATAATATTAATTAGACAGCTAAAGAACTTCAGAATATATTTTTCAGATGCAGAAGTATTATTTTACTCATCAACTGCTTACCTTTAAAATATAGATTTGAAATGTGCATGTATGCACACACATACATATATATATACATATACACAACAAAATTACTGTGTATGCATGTTTATGTGTAAGCAAACAATGCACAGGGATTTTATTCACTGTAAATATGAAAACCTCTTTCTTTATGAAAGTAAAAAAAATACATTTGCCAATTCAAAAATACAGTTTTGTATAAAAACAAATCAAAACTGAAAACTATTTCTGAAAGTGACTTAGGAAGCTAACAAACCAAAACCCTATTAAAACAGTGAACCCTACTTTCAGGCCTTAGGAATCACACCTGATTTGATTAAAGCTCCTATTAAATGCTTCCTTTACCTTAAACACGGCTGTACATCAATTATGAGACAGCTTCCACAGCCTGCATTATATAAAATAGTTTAAAAAAACTCGTGTGCATATTAAAAACATTGCTAAAAAAGTATATTCAAATATTAGACGCACAGCTTTAATGTAAACTTGATTAAAAGTGACTATGGTATGTTTGTGCCTTCTCCTTCAACTGTCCAAACTTTTCATCTAACAATCTGTCTCAATGGTTATAAAATTTTTACCAAGTGCACAAAAACTCTGTCCCAAAACTCACTGGACTATACTACCTCAGGAACCTTCCACCCATATGCATCCATCTTTAAACTGCTTCCTAAACAGCCTGTATAAGTACAGAGGCAAGAATGGGAAGATGTAAGCTTTGTTCATTTTTAAACAGATAATGCTAAGTCTATTCTTAGTGCCAGCAAAGTCTCTGTACTTACAGATTTGGCAGTAGCAGAAATATACTGAACAACCATTTCACGCTTGGTGGTAAAATCTTTGTCTCGTAAAGGAGCTTTCTTTTCTTCATTAAGGTTCATGTCCTCCTGTAGGAAAGAACATTTACTATGAGTGGTCTGCTTAAGAATTTCAAGTGATTAATAAATATTAATGATGTTTACATCTTAAAATATTCTTGCATGCTATAACAAACAGAAATAGTATTTTGGGGATATTTCCTACTCATTTTCACTCCAGATGACATAATCTTGTTTAAATTTCACCATGTGTTCATAGTTTCTATAACTACATAGCCTGGTATGAAGCAGAAAAAAATATTTTTAAACTTTTCCACAGACTAAATGGGCATATGAAAAGCTATTTATTTACCTGGATAGCCAATGCATACATACACAAATTACTTTTCAGTAGATGCTCCCATAAGCCCAGGAAAGCAACTATGATTGTCATGATTGTCAAATTAATAGGGAATACACACACACACACACACACACACACACACACATATATACACACACACACATATATACACACACACACTATATATATATATAGTGTGTGTGTGTGTGTGTGTACATGCACACATAGCACTAAAGGAAAAAAAGCTGCTGCACTTAAAAGAGCAAAAAGAAGCAGGGCACCGGTGGCTCAGACCTGTAATCCTAGCTACTCAGGAGGCTGAGATCTGAGGATCGTGGTTCAAAGCCAGCCCAGGCAGGAAAGGCCATGAGACTGTTATCACCAATAAACCACTAGAAAACCAGAAGTGGCACTGTGGTTCAAGTGGTAGCGCGCTAGCCTTGAGATAAAAAGCTGAGGGGCAGCGCCCAGACCCAGAGTTCAAGCCCCATAACTGACAAAAAAAAAAAAAAAAAGAAAGAGAGAAATATACTTACTATATTGGGATAACAAAAACTACTCCTTGGAAAGGAAAACATTGTTACTGCGGTTCAGTTAACTTTCATATGGTTGGGAATCCACATTTATTTTTGTGCTACACAAACATCTAACAAGTTCATCACAAAAAAATATTTTCTTCATTATAAAACTCATGTCAGCCTTTGTAACATAAGAAGAAGATACCCTTCATGAAATATGAGGGAAGAGGGAAATTACTGGGTTTTAAATTCCCCAAGAGAAAAAGTCACTCTACAAAATGGGTTAAAATGTTACAAATCACATTTAAAATGGGATGTATACCCATACAGACAAGGTAGAAAGGATTGAAAGCTTCATGTTAGTTTGTCTTGTTTTCTTGGCTGGCACTATCTCCTTCAGCTCTGCTTCATGCTGATTATTTTGAGATGGAGTAATTATTTTTTTTTTGCCTGGGCTGACTTTGAAACATGATCCTCCAGATCTCAGTTTCATGAGTAACTAAGTTTACAGGTGTAAGCCACCAAAAAAGATTTAAGAATAAGCATTAAGCACAAAAAAAGGATGTTCACCATTATTATTTATAAGATGTACAAAACACTATGTTGAAAATGAACTTTACAGCTTGGCGAGGGGAGAAGCTGGGGAGGAGGGAAGGGATAGTAGAGGAAAAACAAAGGAGAGGGTAACAATACTCGATAGGAAATGTACTCATTACCTTACTCATGTAACTGTACCCTCTTTGTACAATATGTTTATAACAAATATATATATATATATATTTAAAAAACAGCCATCACGTTACTACCATAAGAATAGCTACATTTTAATAAAGGTAAAAAATACTTGCAATGGTGTAAAAAAATTGATACTTCACACATTGCTAATGGGAATGTGAAATGATGCACCATTTTAGAAAACTCTGGCAATTCCTCAAACTAGTTAAACATAAGTTTAACATACTATATAATTCAGCTTACATATGCAAGCCAAATGAAAACGTATCTTTACATTGGGTGTGATGACACATACCTATAATCTCAGCCCTCAGAAACCTGAGGGAGGAAGAACATGAATTCTAGTCCAGCCAGGAATATATTGTTAGACCTGGACTCAAAAATTATATACATTTCCACAACAAAACTTATAAAAAATGTTTATTAGTTACATCATTCCTGATAACCCAAAATTAACAAACTACTCAAATATCTAAAAAGTGGTAAGTAAACAAAATAAGATATACTTACACAACAGAATATTACTCAGCCACCAAAAAGAATCAATCAGATAAACTCTGAAATTGTATCATGCTAATTGAAACAATTCAGGCATGAACGACTATGTATTATATACGTCGGTTTGCATAAAATACCCATGCAAGCCAAATCTATAGAGATAGAACAAAAAACTAATGCTTGCCACTGTCAGGAAAGTAGAAAAGAACAGATTTGATTAGTATTGTTTAAGGATATGGTGTTTCTTTTAGGGGTAATACAAATAATATGAAATTGATTGATTTATAGTTGCACAGGAGTTGAATATACTAAGAACACAAAATTATTAAGGTATATGAATTGTATGTTTACATTTGACATTTGAATTTTTGTAGTTTTTACGTTTTGGTTGACATTTAATAACCACATATTTATGGAGTAGTGTTATGTTTTGAATCATGTATAAAGGGTATAATGAAAGAATCAAGGAAATTAGTATATTCATCATCTTAAACATACATTGTATCTTTATAGTGTCAGAAATATTCAAGGTGCTCGTATGTAGCTATACTGAAGTATAAGCTATACTGAAGTATAAAATACACCACTGTTAACTATAAATAACTATACTGTGCAATGAGTCACCAGAACTCTAGTCTCCTATTTAACTCATACACTGCACTCATGGACTAACCTTTCCCCATCCTTTCTCCCTCCATACACTGCTCAGCCTCTGGAAAACACTATTTCATCCCTCATTTCTACAAAAATGTAAATTACTGGAATATAAATTAGTATAGCTATTATTTAAAAATAAAGTGTAGAATTTCCACAATTGAAAGTGGAACTACCACCATGTGCTAGTGGCTCATGCCTGATATCCTAGATATTCGGGAGGCTGAGATTTGAGAAATGGCAGTTCGAAGCCAATCTGAGGAGAAAAGTCCATAAGACTCTGGATTCTTTTCTCCAATTGTCCACACACACAAAAAGAAAAACTGGAAGTAGAGGTGCAGCTCAAGTGGTAGAGTGCTAGCCTTGAGTGAAAAAAGCTAAGGGACAGAGCCTGGATCCAGAGTTTACAAAAAAAAAAAAAAAAAGAATTACCACCACCCTCAGTACTGGGTATATAGCCAAAAGAAATGAAATAATGCTGGGCACCAGTGGCTCACGCCTGTAATCCTAGCCCCTCAGGAGGCTGAGATCTGAGGATCATGGTTCAAAGCCAGCCAGGGCAGGAAAAGTCCTTGAGATTCTTATCTCCAATAAACCACTAGAAAACCGGAAGTGACGCTGTGGCTCAAGCAGTAGAGCGCTCACCTAGAGCTGAAGAGCTGAGGGACAACGCCCAAGCCCAGAGTTCAAGCCTCACGACGGACAAAAAAAAAAAAAAAAAGAAATCATTACATGGAAGACACATCTGCACCTCCATGTTTACAGCAGCATTGGTTACAATAGCTGAGAAATAGTTTACATCTAATTTTTCCTCACTGGATGTGCTACATACCCATAATGCCATGCTCTTCAGCCGTAATAGAGAATGGAAGCCAGTGCTAGAGGTGTGGGTCAAGTGGCAGAACAGAAGGCCCTGAGTTTATAAACAGGAAGGAAAGAAGGAAGGAAAGAAGGAAGGGAGGAAGGGAGGGAGGGAGGGAGGGAGGGAGGGAGGGGAGGAGAAACTGAAACCAAATCTTTTCCGACAACTTGGTCAGATCTGGAAATGAGTACACCAACTGAAATGAGTCAGGCCCAGAAAGATATAAAAAAGAAAACCCACATATTCTCATTTACATGATGAACCTAAAAAATTAGATGTAAATTTTTAAGTAAAAATTAAATATTTTTCTTCCTTCACTGTTTCAATAATTATAACCAATCTATTTACTAATCAAGTAAACTAGTTAGCAAAGAATATCAAAGGCTCATGTGAGAATGTGATAGCACAACAAAAAAAATCCATCTAAAATTATCAAATATGTCTACAAAATACAAATTTAGTATCTCTAATCCATAAATCCATAATGCAATGTCCAAAATTCCTGGAGCATGACTTATGAAGACTTTTTAGTGTCAATATGATACTCAGTAAGATTCAGATTTGGGAACATTTTGGATTTCTGATTATGAGATTAGGAATTATCAACAAAGTCTACACAACATTTTAAAATCCAGAAATGAACAAAAACCTGAAAAACATTTTGGGTAAGAGATATTGAACCTATACTCACTCTATAGACAGGGAAAAACCTCATGATATTTACCTGTACCCACTACAGTAACAGATCATTCATATTAAATATTCATTTTTTGTTAATATATGTGTTTTCCTCTCACCTTTTCTACCATATTTATTTAATTCTCTTGTGTGTGTGTGTGTGTGTGTGTGTGTGTGTGTGTGTGTGTGTGTGTGTGTGTTGAGCAATGTGGTATTAGATCAGAATCAGGTCTTCTTTCAATGACATTTGTGTGTGTGTGTGTGTGTGTGTGTGTGTGAGTGTGTGTGTGTTGAGCAATGTGGTATTAGATCAGAATCAGGTCTTCTTTCAATGACATTTGTGTGTGTGTGTGTGTGTGTGTGTGTGTGTGTGAGTGTGTGTGTGTTGAGCAATGTGGTATTAGATCAGAATCAGGTCTTCTTTCAATGACATTTGTGTGTGTGTGTGTGTGTGTGTGTGTGTGTGTGTGTTGAGTAATGTGGTATTAGGTCAGAATCAAGTCTTGCAATGACATTTCTATACTATGTAGAAATAATGGAGACGTAGTGGCTTACTCAGCTGTGATTATGCCTTCAGAGTAGAATTACTTCATAAGAAAATAAACAATAAGGGAAATATTGTCACCATTGTGATCAAGCATATCAAGACTATATATTAACTAGTCTTCAAAGAATGCAACCTGCTAATAATGCCACCTCCAACAGCCTTATTGCCTAAACTACTTTTGACCATAGCTATTGTGTTTTAATAATACTAAGTGAATGTAGTTGTTACATGCAT